AGGGAAAAAGTGGGAGAGGAAAGTGGACAGTGCACTGAGGTGGTGTAATAATAATAATAACCAACTATATTTTATGATGGTAAAACATGTAACAGTGTAAACTGATGAACTTGTGGCCCTCTTACAAATTTATAAAATCTAAATAGATAAATAACAATATTATATAACATATATTATATTAATTCAATTCCAGTAGTGTAGTTTAGTATACCATAAATGCAAAAATTATTCCTACAAATACACRTAACAAAAGTCAGTTACCTCTTGTGGAGGGACATCAAAGGATACAACCCTGAGGTCCACCTTTTTATAGCTGTCCATGCATGGAAGAATGAAAAATAATCCTGAAAAATGAAGACAAAATACATTTAATATTTGAAAAAATTGATAAAGAAATCCCCAATGTGTTCATTTTCTTATTTGAAGTCTGAATTGGATAATTTTTTGAAAAACTTTTTTTTACCTGGTCCTTTAGCTCCACCAGGAAGCAGCCGACCAAGTCTGAAGATGACAGCTCTTTCATACTCTTGAACAATCTAAATACCAACAACAATTGATTTATATTCATGCATGGCCATATAAATTATTTTGCCTTAACAATGCCTCAAAAATAATTTATAAGAGCAGTAAAATATGTAATTTAATTAATTATCATTTAGATATATTTTTCAAATATATGTAGGCAATAGTAAAAGTTTTTTTAAAAAAGTTTTGAAGGTTTTGGACAAGTATCATCTTCAGAAATGCCAAGTTCGAGTATTGTCAACTTGAACTTGGCATTTCTGAAGATGATACTTGTCGAAAACGTTCAAAACTTTAAACAAACTTTTACTTTTGCCTACATATATTTGGAAAAATTGCTATGACATTTAGATATATGAAAATAAGGTCACTAGATCTAGGACTTTCCCAAATTTACTTTAATGACTTCTTTAGGGCATAATTGGTTATGCAGTCACTAAAGCGAATTCAGGCAAGGTCTACTGTATTTCCGTCAAGCAAAAAGCCTAGCCAAAAATGGTAGAGCAAAGATCAAAATGATTGAGAATAAATTGCACACAAAAAAGAGTTCTGGGGTGCTTACCATTTACCGGGAAAAACCGGAAATTCTGGTTGGAAAATAAATGGTATGCGTCATTCTGAGCGGAAAGTTCTGGAAAACTCGGTCTTCCGATTGAAGTCATCCACTTTCGCCGCTCTTTTTGGTTCTTCCTGTAGACGCGTGTACCAGTTTTCGAAAGTCAAAGTTCCTCGCTCTTTTTTTACTATTGGCAAATGAATTTCCAACCGGATGGATTGGTTTAAATAGTAAGTACCCCTGGTTTTAATTGTATATTTTAAGTGACAGACCTTTTTACCTTGGAGTTGTGTGTTTTCCCATTTCAGACCATGTGTCATTCTCTTGAGAATAAGATTATTTCTTCAAGTTCTCATGTACAACCATTAAACAAAGAAATGATACTCTAGGGAATGACACAAACTGAATTGGGAAAACACTACTCTCAAGGTAAAAATGTATTTGTAAAAATCAGGTTACCTTCAAGCAAAAGCATAGTGAAAATGGTAGAGTACAGATAAAAACCAGGATTGATAATGCAGTCAGGACGTAGTAGCAAACCCCTCTTCCGTCATCCTCACCATTACTTTCACCTACAGAAACAGGAAAGGATGTGACCGTCAGAATGCTCTCAATCTGATACAAGTGTCTCACTGACTTTGTGACAGTAAAGCGAATATATATAGTCAGTCAGTGAGTCAGTCAGTCAGCCAGCCAGCCAGTTTTTTACTTCTGGGAATAGTGTCCATAATAATTATATTATAAATCAAATTAAGAATAAAATTTTATATGGAAATAATTCAAAAGTAAATGCCTCATCTTCACAAAATATTTTTATTGGTACAGCTGAATTTTACATTTTACATTAATAAAATGATATTATGTGATCATGTAATAATATAATATTAAATGCTTTCCATATAAAATGTAAAAAAATTGAAGCATTAATTATTCACACAACTTTGAACATCAATTTTGATGTGTTGGTAAGGTGTTCGATTCTTGTTAAATATGCACATATTTTGTAATGCTTGCATATGTAACTGTTTGATAGTGTGGTTTTAATAAATTTACCTACTCATCTTGAATTCAAACCACACAGAAAACACAAAAACATCTGGGAATCGCATACATAAAACCTTAAAGCAGCCATATAAGGAACTATTTTTTTAAACTAGTGCACAAGCTTTATGTATTGGTGACTTTATGCATATACATACATGTATGTATGTGTGTGAAATATCTTCACAAAAATATTCAAAATATCATGACACGAATGCTAATTGGTTACTATGTTATATTAGAGGACATGCGGAGACATGTTCTTGCATAAAACTGTCAATAAAAAGCATTTCATTAATTAAAACAACCTAAAGTGAACACTTGGAAATAAGTAATACTCTGGAATACAAGGATGTAAGAGCACTTAGTTAGAAATTTAGTCAGAGAATTGGCTAAAAAAACTGATATGTAACATATAAATAATTAAATAAATATTTAGTTTGTAATCATTAAAGAGACAACCATCAGCTATGCTGCAGTATGTATTTAGTACAGGGTGTACAAATAAATCTTACAATTATCATCATCATCATCATTATTATTATTGAAGAAATAAAAAACGTGTGCACGTGCTGTGTGCAGTTATGAAGCATCCGCATGGGAGGGTTGGCAGAACACGAGAGAAGTGGTAGAAGAAGTATGATGTGTTGGAGAGTGCTTCTTGACACTTCTCGAGTGTTCTGTCAATCCCCAAGTGCTTTAAAACTAAACACAGCTCTGTGCTCTCATAAAGCATGCACTCCTAACCAACCAGAACGCAATTTATAACATTTATTTTATAATATCATTTATTATCTATTACACTCGGTATTCCTAAAATATGAGCTAGCTTGCTTTTAATGCTCTATTACATGTAAGGTCTCACTACAATAATTATTGTTTATGTACGAGTAAAGCGAAGTGTATATGAATATGAAATATATACATAAAGCACTATTATATATACATGACTAGCCACTTTTCATAGATGATTTTGATTATGTCTTCACACTTTAAAGGTCCTTAAGTATAGACAACAAGACGTCAAATTGAATTTGAAATCTAGTTTTATTGGTAGACGGTCAGTCAAAAACAGGTGTACATGTTAATGTTTCCAAATTTTTACAAACCTTTTTGATTGGTGAGCCACCAAGAGTAAATTTCACTGTATTTCAGTTCAATGTCAAGTTTGTCACATGTGACTGATAATAGCTATAATGAAAATTTTCTAAAATTAAGTCTATAAGATGAAGAATTTGTATTTAACTACGTTGAATTTTAACATGCACATATCTGAACACATTAATGTAGTCAAGAATACACGCCTATGATAAGTTAAAATATACCTCTCGATGCTCTTATGCTAAAAAAATTCTTTAAATATTTTTTCTTCATAACAAAACAAGCGTAAAACTTTTTGTTTTGAAATATTATAATCATGCAGTGAAGTTGTTTGTTGGAAACGACATTAAACAAACTCTCTTTATGAATACATTTGTCATTAAA